TACACTGGCTCTTGGATCTCTAAGGAGGTGCTAATTTAGCCTCTGCCTGAGGCTACCCAGCAGGAGCTATGGAGAGATCTGCAGATTCCTCTTCTTTGTTTGGGGTTTGGAGGTGCAAAGATGAGGCCCAGCTGTGAAGCAATGCAAGCTGCTGTGGGGCCTTGGGCCTTCTTTTGGAAGCTCTGGGTCTCTCTGACCTAGCTGCAGTTTGTTAGGTAATTTTCAGATTGCAAAGGGCCAGGCCATTCATATGCAAAAGTCCCTGTGCACAGCTTGGGTGGAGTGGGTCTCAGGGAATCAACAGGGCGGAGCAAACAGCTATGGCTGATCCTCAGCCCTGCCCTAAGAGGCCCCGCATCTCAGTGTTCCGGTAATCGCTGCAAGCACCTCTGAGAGAAAGCCGCCCTCGAGTTCCAACTCATGCCAAATGGTCCAGTTTCTCCCCGTATGAGTCTGGGTCCCCAGAGACTCGCCTGGAACTGAAGTTCAGAGCATTCGGGAGCTTGAGACTCCCTCCCGATTGAAAAAGACAACCATGTCCTCAGTTGCCAGCCCTTTCCACATGCACCTCTGTACCTCTGCACTTTACTGCCGCACCTCCTCTGAGTCTCAGTGTGCTTTTCTCTTTCCTTCTAGTTGTAGAATTTCCACTGAGCTAGCCTTCCTGTGGTTCTGGATGATGTCCGTTTTGTCTTTTAGTTGTATTTTTGAAGTGGTTGTGCGAGGCAGCAATTTCCGGTGTTTACCTCTGCCACCATCTTGGTTTCTCCTATTTATATCTCTTTATTGGTTTTATTTTATAAGGTCATTTTAAGTGATCCATTAGATTAGAAGTTAAGGTATGTTTAAAAGCTTAAAGGGTTCCTTAAGTCTGAAATAATACCAAAACAGGTATAGGCTCTCAGAGTGATCTGTAGTCTTCTTTTCATTACAGAGTGATATTCCCACTGCCCAGAGAAAGCGGTTTACTAGAGTAGAAATGGCCCGAGTTCTAATGGAGAGAAACCAGTATAAAGAGAGATTGATGGAGCTTCAGGAAGCTGTTCGATGGACAGAGATGATTCGGTTTGTATGAGAAGTATCTCTGATGTTTTTCTAGTATTGTTTTTTAGTTTTTCTGGAAATGCCTTCATTCAGAATTAAGAGCTCTTCCTTTGGGGATCCAAGCCCCTTGCTCTCTTTACTAGGAGAGACTTTCAAAAGTAACCCTTGGAATTGGGAACAGAATGTGATTAAAATGGGCGTCTTTTGGGCCGGTAAAGGGCTCTTGGAGAATGTTCCCATAACCTCTTAAACACAATTGTTATTGCTTAGGAATGGTGTTCATTTCTCAGAAGAATATAGAAATTGACGCTGCTTTTGCAGTAATGTCAGGGAAATACAAGCATTTCATAGGCCAATAGGAAACAGTCATTTTTACTCAGTGTCTTCCTGTACAATGGTCTTGCTGAATTTTATCTCCCTTTCCACTTCATGCAAAATGCCACTTCTATTGAGATCTTTGTCAGTTGGATCTTAAATCTCACCTCTAGTGCTGCCATCTAATGGTCAGATTCTCAGTAACAGCATTCCTTTAATTTAGGAAGAGCTCATGAAAAGTTTGTAGTCACCCCCTAATTTGCCCACATTTTTGAGAGAGTGGAAGGGACCTAGGGGATGGGGGCCGGGGAGAAAAAGGGTGAGAGCATCAATCGATTGCTTCCTGCATGCACCCCGACTGGGGCTGGAGATCAAACTTGAACAGCCAAGGTCTGTGCCCTTTACCAGGAATCTCACCCGAGACCCTCCAGTGTGCAGGCTGGCGCTCTAGCCACTGGATCCACTGGCAGGACTGTAGGCTCCACTCTCATTGTTCTTCTTACTTCTAACAAGTGGCTGTCAACAGGTGGAGATCAATGGTATCTGGTATCTTATTACATTTTTTAAGTTCTTTTTTTTATTATTGATTTCAGAGGGGAAGGGAGAGAGAGAGAGAGAGAGAAACATCAGTGATGAGAGAGAGTCATTGATCGGCTGCCTCCTGCATGCCCCCTACTGGGGATCAAGCCTGCAACCCAGGCATGTGCCCTTAGCTGGAATCGAACCTGGGACCCTTCAGTCCATAGGCTGACACTCTGTCCACTGAGCCAAATCGGCTAGGGCTGATATCTTACTTTTTCTATTGAATTACGATGTTTTTAATTTAGCCTTTTACAAAAGGGAAGGGGGAGTTTCTCATCCTTACCATCTTACTGAATCACTTTGAAATGCCTTATTTTTTAAAATTTTGTTGAATTACCTATCAATCTAGTTCATCCCTTTCTTTGGTCATCTTTTCAGTGATGGAAAAGTTTTAGTCCTGTGAAAAATAACCTATCGAAACAGTAAAATTACAAGCTATTCTGAGAGCTGGGAGTATAAGGTGGTACAGATCTTTATGTAAAGATAGGGATTTACAAGGCAATGTTTTGATAAAAAGGAGAGAGGTGGAGGATATATCTTTAACAAGACATGTAAAATAGTAAGCATTCAGGCATGTTGGTTATTTGTCCAGCACAGACAACAATCTTGTCTCTGTCATGTCAGTAGACTGAGCTCTGAGGGAGGGATGGTATTTTACTTCGGTTGTAGCCGTAGCAGAACTTCCTTGGTCCTTGGTTCTTAGACCGCTACAACACTCTACTGAAACACATTTTTTTTCTTTTTCCATGTAGAGCATCAAGAGAAAATCCAGCCATGCAGGAAAAAAAAAGGTCAAGCATCTGGCAGTTGTAAGTATCTAAAGACACATAAAGACAGTAGCTAGCACTTCGAGACAAGATTACCGCCAAAATTTATTTTCAAGAATGCTTTGGTGTCTCCTCCCTTCCTCAGTTCTTCCCCCCACTTCCTTCCTGCCCACATTTCTTAAATTTGGGATATGTTACTAAACTGAACTTTTTCTTTTTGATATGTAGTGTGCCAGCTCGGTAAGGCTGTTCTTGAGGACAAAAATATTACTGTCGTAAGCTGCATCATTTTGGTTATGCATTTGATGGAATCCTCTACTAAGTTAAATAAAATAACAGGGAGCTATTCAGAGTTGATAATTACCTGGATTCCCATTAATAAATGTCTGCTTCACTGGTGCTTCACTGGTTGTGTGATTGTAAAAATCTTTACAAAGCGAAGATTAGAAATTCAGTGTTTGTGGGGTTTGAGTAGTGTATGTCGGTTTTGGACTTGAGTTACTAGTATGTTCATGCTAGAACAGGGGTGGGCAAACTTTTTGACTTGAGGGCCACAATGGGTTCTTAAACTGGACCGGAGGGCCGGAACAAAAGCATGGATGGAGTGTTTGTGTGAACTGATATAAATTCAAAGTAAACATCATTACATAAAAGGGTACGGTTTTTTTTTTCAATAGTTTTATTCATTTCAAATGGGCCGGATTCCGCCGGCGGACCGTAGTTTGCCCACGGCTGTGCTAGAAGTACTGTGTGTTCAGTGAGCTTAATACTCACCCCTTTTTGGTGAATCTCCTATTTAATAGAAGTATCGGTCTTTTTGAGTGGGTGTGAAAATAGTTATTTAAGTTGAGTTTAACAAGAAAATGTATAAGCTGTGTGTTAAACGGTAATGTGTGTTCTAGTGCTTTATTGTAACTATTTTTAGAAGTGGTTACTAGGCTTCTAGTCAAGCCATGAAGCCATAACCTTGCTTTCTAACAGCCACTCTCAGATGGCACCAAGTAGGAGCTGGCTAAAGGGGCCATCTTCTCTTATGTCTTCATTACGAGCAGTTCCTGGTACTTCAGAGCGTCTCCCTTTCATTAGGGGAATTGCTAATGAAAGAGCAGGGATCTGCCAGGCTCGGCGTAGTTCCTCTTTCCTGAATGTCTGCTTTGGCTGTGAGTTACTGCTCAGGCTGCCCTGGGTGACCTCAATTTTTTTTTTTTTTTTTTTTTGCCAGTTTTTAACTCATTGCCTTGTAAAAGCGCTCTGGGATTTGTGGGAAATTATGGATTGTTTTTATAGTGCGTGTAATACATATATAGACATATACATACTCACTTTTTTCTTTTTAGTTTTAGCCGACTTTTTAGCTCCTCAAGTAATACTACTAAGAAACCCGAACCACCTGTTAATCTGAAGTATAACGCACCCACCTCTCATGTTACTCCTTCTGTCAAGAAAAGAAGCAGCACCTTATGTCAGCTCCCTGGGGACAAGTCCAAAGCCTTTGACTTCCTTAGTGAAGAGTAAGTATTTTCCAGACTAGTGGTTATGCCCTCAATAAGTCAGCAGTTCTGAGTATTCGCACCACTTAACAGTTCAGCTGTAAAGTTCCAGATAAATCTATATATAAACTATGTCTGCAACTTGGCTATTGTAAATAAATTATTTATAGCCAATACATTTTAGGAAAATTGCATCTGTTTTCATAAAGAGAAGGAAATTTTTAATGTCTCCTTTTTCTGGTATGACAACATTGATAAATACTAATAGAAATGCTAACGGCTTATATTACTTTTTTTTTAGTGTCAGAAGGACTTGGTTTTTCAGTCTGACTCTGCTTCTCATTAGGTGTACAGAAACTTGGTACATAAACCTCTTAGAGTCCCAGTTTCTTGGCCAGTGAAATGAGTATGATAATCTATCTCAGACGTGTTAGGATTAAATTATATAGGTTATATATCTGTAAAGTGTCTGACACACAGGTAGATTTGTTAACTATAAGATACCAAGCAAGTCACCTCACAAAAATTTAAATGGCCTAGAGAAAGACAAATTATTTTCATGGAATTTTACTGCACAGCTCTAAAGCTTACCAAGTCAGTTTGCATATTTGTCTTCTGGAACAAGTAAATGGGATCCAGAAGTTAACCTGTTATCTTCCTACGAAGGTACTGATCTATTGGTCTTCAGTCACTCCTATCTAGCACATTCCCTGCATCAGAAAATTCTTAATATATATTTGTTGAATGAACCAAAAAAATGAGGAAGCAAAAATATTTAAGGATTTTCCCTTTCATATAGGTAAAATTTTAAACCTGATAGAAATTTGGTTCAATATAATAGGCTATTTACTAACCTGTTAAAACTTGGACACTGTATTCACTGCATAACTTGAAAAGACCAGCTATGGTATAACACTTTTTAAGGAGGAATCTTAGTCTGAAGTAAACCAATCTGAAATCATGTAAATTTTGTGTTGTTATTTTTACTCTTTTTAGAAGGAGAGTTGTTGTAATCACTTAATTTTAAAAGGAATGTTTTTCCCTTCTAGAACTGAAGCTAATTTAGCCTCACGCAGAGAACAGAAGAGAGAACAGTATCGTCAGGTGAAGGCCCATGTGCAGAAGGAGGATGGAAGAGTGCAGGCTTTTGGCTGGAGCCTGCCTCAGAAGTACAAACAGGTAACGTGTGAGCATCATGAGAGCATCTAGTGCAGCGGTTCTCAACCTGTGGGTCGTGACCCCTTTGGCGGTCGAACCATCCTTTCACAGGGGTCGCCTAAGACCATCCTGCATATCAGATATTTACATTACGATTCATAACAGTAGCAACATTACAGTTATGAAGTAGCAACGAAAATAATTTTATGGTTGGGTCACAACATGAGGAACTGTATTTAAAGGACCAGAAGATTATGAACCACTGATCTAGTGGATAATGCCGGGACAGGAGTGTGGCTGGGCATGAAGGAATCGAAAACCACACCCCGAACCCGCTCATTTCAAGCTGCTTGCACTTAGCATCCATTGAGAGAAGTGCTGGAGGTAGTGGTTTTCAGGCTGTTTTCCACCCTAGAGCTCAAAAGAAATGCCTCTGAGTCTAAGGGAGACAGGTCAACAAAGGTGGCCGAGTGCATGAACTTACATATCCAGCTCTGTCTTAATACTTGAAGATTTCATTTTTTGAAAAGCAGCATCTATTGTTTATACTTTATACGTTTTAAGAAGCCATTAGCATGGGCGCCTTTCAAACACTTGACTTAAAACTCAGTTCAGGTGTTCAGGAACTTTACCTGTCTACTCCATATTGCCTATTCCCAAATGACTCAGCTCATGCTTACACACACACACACACACACACACATACACACACACACACACTCTCACACACTCACACATTCACACTCTCTTTCTCTCCCTCCCTATCCCTCCCACTCCCCCACATATGTGAATTAGTCTGTCTTCTGATATTTCATAGCATCTTGTTTATTTTGCCCAATTGCCACTTGATTTTTTTTTTCATTTTTCAAATAAGAATAATAAGGCTAACTCCTCTTTCTCTCCTCCCAAATTATTAGGTAACCAATGGTCAAGGGGAAAATAAGATGAAAAATTTACCTGTGCCTGTCTGTCTCAGGCCTCTAGATGAAAAAGATACATCCATGAAGGTAAATAAATTTTGAAGTTAAAGAAGCTACTTCTTAAAATCTGGGTGGACATTTTTCTAAACAAAATTGTTAAATCCTACTTTTGTGGATCAGATTTTTTATTTTGTAATTTTAGACTGGGGTACTTTGAATATTAAAGACCTATATTTATAATCATTAGAATTTTAAAGAAAATGTGAAAAATTCTAAACATTTTTAGATAAAAAGTGACTTAATACTTTTTATTTTTTAACTCTAAAAGCTGTGGTGTGCTGTTGGAGTCAATTTATCTGGTGGGAAGACCAGAGATGGCGGTTCTGTGGTTGGAGCTAGTGTGTTTTACAAGGATGTTGCTGGTTTGGATGCAGAAGGCAGTCAGCAGCGGAGTGCATCTCAGAGCAGTTTAGACAAGCTCGATCAGGAACTGAAGGTAAGCGTGTGCACCAACACTTGTCTCCTGGTGCCTGAGACTGTTAGCTCGCTCTTTGGTCCAAAACTTACTTCTGGGTTTAACTTCTAGTTGGGATTGCTGCGCCCTTGCTTCTTCCTCACTCTCTTTTTTCAAAATCAGTTTTATTGAGGTATATTTTACACTCAGTAAAGTGTATACTTGAAATGTTTATAGTCCAGAGTTTGGACAGATGTGTGCAAGTATGTAACAACTGTCACAGCCGAGATACAGACCATTTTTGTCACTGATCTGCTTTAACTGCTAGTTCTTATGTGCTGGTTAATGTGGAAAGACAGCAGTATTTTCAGCCTTCCAAATAATCTGGAAATAAACTTGAAATAGTGTTGCCCTTGACTGTAGTAGCACAGCTTTTTAATGTTTGTACATATCATTTCTAATATTCATTTCTTTACTTTGCAGGAACAGCAGAAGGAGTTAAAAAATCAAGAAGAATTATCTAGTCTAGTCTGGATCTGTACTAGCACCCATGCAGCTACAAAAGTGATTATTATTGATGCTGTTCAACCAGGCCACATCCTAGACAGTTTCACTGTTTGCAATTCGCACGTCCTGTGTATAGCAAGTGTACCAGGTAAGAGTGAGCCGTGCCCCTGTCTTCCCACCTTCAGCACCTCCTTTGCAGGCCCTAATTTAGTTACTGGAGATATAGTCATGCACCACTTCTAGGAGTTGTGTGCTACTTGGGAAGACCAAAAATAAGCTGGGAACAAATGACTAAACCTGATATTTTCAGACGGTGTGAAGAAAATAAAATAGTGCTAATATTAGATGATGACTGGAAGGCAGAGCACAAGGGATTATTTTGATTTACTAGTAAGGGAAAGCTTTCTAAAGTTTTAGATTAAATCTTATAAATACATTGGTTTAAAAATGAAATAAATTTGTGATATATCTATAAGTGGAATATTATATAAAAAGGAATGAAATTCTCATACATGCTACAACATGGATTAACCTTAGAAACATTATGCTAAGTAAAATAAATCTGACACAGAGGACAAATATTATGATTCCACTTAGGTCTGAGCTATCTGGACAAGGCAATTCATGAAGACAGAAGTCGATTACCGGGGGCAGCCAGGGGTGGGGCTGGGGAATCGGATTATTTAATTGGTACAGATTTTCTGTTTGGGGTGATGTGAGAGTTTTAGACATGCATAGTTTTGGTGACTGTACAGCATTATAAATGCCATTTGAATTATACATTTAAAAATGGTTAAGATGGTCCTAGCCCAGCCGTGGGCAAACTACAGCCCGCAGGCCGGATCCGGCCCGTTTGAAATGAATAAAACTAAAAAAAAAAGAAGACCATATACCCTTTTATGTAATGATGTTTACTTTGAATTTATATTAGTTCACACAAACACTCCATCCATGCTTTTGTTCCGCCCTCCGGTCCAGTTTAAGAACCCGTTGTGGCCCTCGAGTCAAAAAGTTTGCCCACCCCTGTCCTAGCCGGTTTGGCTCAGTGTATAGAGAGCGTCAGCCTGTGGACTCAAGGGTCCCGGGTTGATTCCAGTCAAGGGCACATGCCTGGCTTGGCAGCTCAGTCCCCAGTAGAGGGCGTGCAGGAGGCAGCCAATCAATGATTCCCTCTCATCATGGATGTTTCTATATCTCCCTCTCCCTTCCTCTCTAAAATCAATAAAAATATTTAGAAAAGGTTAACATGGCAAATTTTATGTGTATGTGTGTATATGTCTGTATTTGACTACAATAAAGTTTTTTTAATGCAATACGAATAAAAACAGCTTTCTAAATTAAAAAAAAACAAGAGGTTTATCTTTATACTGCAAATGCTTAGTTTTTAAATGTGTTACTAATGCTTAAGGCACTGTGTACATTTAGGGTGACTAATTTTTAATAGTGGTAGGCAGAAGTCCATATTTCAAATAGCAAATATAATTTACATATATTTAGATTTCATTGGTTTTAACCTCATTAGGTGGCTGCCTAGGAGCTCATATTAAGAGCAGAAGCATAATTTCTGACATTTTCATGTTTTCTTTTGCTTGCATTACTAGAAGTATTATCTTAAATTTTTAAGCTGCTTTCCATTTTGTGAAGGTTAGTTTTAAAAAATGTTAAAGCTATCTTTGGCAGTATATTCAAATAACTATTTGCCTTTACCTATACACTCTTATTTAAAACCCATAGTTGTTTTTATGGAGAAAAAGCTAGTTCTATAAGTTTACTTAGCATTAAAAGAAGGCTTATCTTGTGTTTTTAGGAGCACGAGAAACAGACTACCCTGCAGGAGAAGAGCTTTCAGAATCGGGACAGGTGGACAAAGCATCTTTATCTGGAAGCATGACAAGCAATAGCTCAGCAGAGACAGACAGCCTGTTGGGAGGCATCACGGTGGTTGGTTGTTCCGCAGAAGGTGTGACAGCAGGTGCCACGCCCCCTAGTACCAACGGTGCTTCTCCAGTGACAGAAAAGCCACCAGGTAGAGCCATGCTCCTTACATACCATCCGTACAGCACCAGAGCCTGTTCCAGACGCCTCACAATGGACTTAATCTGGATCTTAACGTAACAAGAATGAAAGAACATAAACGAAGATGCTGTAATGATTGTTAAATGAAATTATGAATTCTCAATGTCATGATATAGTGCAGAGGGGGCAGAGGGTAGGTGGAGTGGAATTCTATAGCAAGGGTTTGTACAAGGAAATTATTGATAGAAAAGTTCAAACTCAGAATGGTTAGCATGTTTTATTTACTTTTTAGAAAAGGAAGCAGAAAGTAGTGAGATTGATGAAAATGTTCCGACGGCAGAAGAAGCAACTGAAGCCACAGAAGGCAATGCAGGGTCAGCTGAAGACAACATGGACGTCTCCCAAACGGGCGTGTACACAGAGCACGTCTTCACAGATCCTTTGGGAGTTCAAATCCCAGAAGACCTCTCACCAGTGTATCAGTCAAGGTATTCAGATGGGTCAATAACTTAGGAAACCACATTAGTACACACACAAAAGGAACCCCAAATAACCTCAATCTGCCAAAATATTCCCACTAGTTCAGTGGTTCCCAGCCTTCTGGCCTTTTAAATACAGATCCTCATGTTGTGACCCCAACCATAAAATTATTTTCGTTGCTACTTCATAACTGTAATGTTGCTGTTATGAATCGTCATGTAAATATCTGATATGCAGGATGGTCTTAGGCGACCCCTGTGAAAGGGTCGTTCGACTGCCAAAGGGGTCGCGACCCACAGGTTGAGAACTGCTGCACTAGTTGGTATTGTTGTGGCAGACTTAGATGCCATTACTTATTCCCACTATGCTATTCCTTCCTCTTCATTGTCTCTGGTTACCCCCTCCCCCCATTTGCTCTCTTTTCCTTCTAATTTATGAAAAAAGTCTTGTCTATAAAATACATTAGTCAAAATTTTTCTGGTCATTTTTTCCTCTAGAATTATTGTTTTTTTAATTGTATTCACTGTCTTCCATTCTATTAATAATTCTTGCTCTTTTAATCCCCACCCCTACTCTAACTCCCACTCTAGTCAGCAGTGAAATTGGCCATTGTTTCAATTTCCCATGTGGGCTTGGATGACCTTTTTGAATTTAGCTCTCTGGCAAACATTTTATTAAAAGACAATTTGTTTTAGGCTCTTTCTTTAAAAGGTTGGTTAATCTAGGTCCATTTCATGAATTCTTTGATTTTCTTTCTTGCCTACTCTAGGTCTTGCAGATAGAGGTTTATCTAAACTGGATTTTTTTTTTACAATTTAATATTTTTCCTCTTAGTATATAGAACAACCAAATATCTTAACATTTAATTGTCAATTTAAGAGTAAAGTCATGCCCTGGCTGGTGGCCCTGTTGGTTGGGCATCAACCTGTGCACCGAAAGGTTGCCAGTTTGATTTCCAGGCAGGACACATGCCGGGTTGTGGGCTTGATCCCTGGTAGGGGCCCTGGGGGAGGCAGCAGGTCGATGTTTTGCTCTCACATCAATGTTTCTCTCTCTCCCTCTCCTTCCCTCTCTCTAAAAGTAAATTTAAAAAGAAAATAGTCATCTTTTTATTAGAATTAGTACATTTGTCTGTTGAATTTGATAACCCAGTTATATCTCTTTATTATATGTGGCAATCTAAAAGAAAGAAGGCTGTGAGTGAATGCAAGCTTATTAATTTATTTTAGAAAATTCTTTATATTTTACCCTCCTTTCAGTGTATGTGTGTGGTTTTTAAAACAAACCATCCCTTCCTCTTTTCTCCTTTAAGAAGAAACTGATAAATTCAAAGTAACCGTAAGGGTGAGGCATAATTATAGTCTGGATAGTAACTGCTATATTTCATTGCCATTTCTTAACTCCATGTTTGCAACTTGGTCCTTCTAGTATGTTAATTTTCTTCTGGTACAATTGTTTAAATATTTAACAATAAGCATTTAACTTTGGCTTTTCTGGAATTTTAGAGTTTGATTTTTTTTTTCTTAAACTGTACACTAAAGTATAGAAATGACCAATCCCTGAAAACTAACTGAGCACACTCAGCTTTTTTTCCTCTTGTCCCATCTTTCCCAGTAATGACTCAGATGCATATAAAGATCAAATATCAGTGTTGCCAAATGAACAAGACCTGGTGAGAGAAGAAGCCCAGAAAATGAGTAGCCTTTTACCAACTATGTGGCTTGGAGCTCAGAATGGCTGGTAGGTGCCAACTCTTTTAATCTTAGAGTATCTTTAGTCTTTTACCTTTGCTTCAGAAACCAAAGATACGTAAAATGTGGTACACATAAGTATAAACAAAGAGTACACATTAAAGCAAAGAATTTTATATACACATAAGTTTTAATGTTATAGTACAACAGTCTCATAAACTGGACTTGCATTGGTTCTTGCTAAACCACACATTTCTCTGTCATGGTGTCCCCTTTATATAATATTCTTGGAAGAAGAGGTTAATAACATTTTAAAATTTGAATGATCCAGAATAGCACACAGATGGAGAATTATTGATGCATATATAGGAGGCTTATGTAGGATTAAACTAATGTATTTGGCTGCAGGAAGACCCAAATCCAAACATAACTTTTCAGTAGAGTTACTAGGAAAACCAGGACAGATCAGGCTGGAAGCTTACCAGGTGATAACAAACATTGTTACCTAGTCTGTTCACTTTCTAGTGGTGTGGGGGGTCTTACAAAATTACCCTTTTCCTGAAGTTAAGCAAGGGCCACTAGTGTGTCTTTTCCATAGTGGTCTAATACTATACAGTGAAGGATGGGCAGACTTTCTCCACGGAGGGTCAGATAACAAATATGTTAGGCTTTGTAGCCATACGATCTCTGTTGTAACTTCACAGCTGTGCTGTGTGATGCAAAAGCAGCCATTACTTTGACAATGTGTAAGTGGGTTAGTGGGACTGTGTCCCAATAAGACTTTTTTTATGTTCACAGAAGTGTGAGTTGCATACAAATCTCATGTCATGAAATACTCTCTGATTTTTCCCAACCATGTAAAACTGTTTTAGCTTATGAACTGTACGAAGGCGGGTGGAGGGCTGATGTGTCCTGCAGGCCTCGGGGTGCCTCTGCCTGATGTCAACCACTGTCTTCACAGAGTTGTAGTTCAGTCTAGTGAAAGGATGATCGTTTTTTAAAACAGGATTTTGCCCAGGATTCTGAAGTGTGGAGTAGCCTGCAATTGACCCTGCATTTTGTCCTGGCTTTTATTCTTCATATGTTTCTGTTTGCTTAGGCAGCTTATTTCTCTGCCTTAGGCCTACCCATACTCTCATTTTTTCCCTAAAATGTGTATGTTACTCCTTTTTCCCCCTGAAGGAACTTTGTGGTCATTATTAGACATAAGCAATGACTTGATGTTCTCGATGCCTTACCAGTCTTGATTTTGTTCTTGCAGTTTGTATGTCCATTCATCTGTAGCCCAGTGGAGGAAATGTCTCCATTCTATTAAACTTAAAGATTCGATTCTCAGTATTGTGTAAGTTTTATTTTAGAAATTCTTTCTTTTAAAAATACTATATCTTGGTTTAAACTAGATTTTAAGACTATTAAAGCTAACATGTATGTCATGACTAAATCAGTATCCATATTATTTTTACCTTCTTTATAGAATTAGAGAAGTTGAGTGAGATGAAACTAGAAAGTAAAATAGAAAAACTTGCCAGGTTGATACCTCATCATGCTATGAGCTCTCTAGTGCTCTGTGGGAGACAACCAATTAATACCTGTGAATATACATTTGTTTCAGAATATTCTTTACATTCTGTGAATATGTTGACTAAGGCTTTTACTAGTCCTTTCCATGTGCTGACTATCAAAAACCAGTGTGTCTCTTAAGTGACAGAGCTGCCTCTGCTAGTTCTACTCGAGGTGTGTGTCTCTGGTCTGTGGACCTTTTGTCAACAGTCTGTGTTGAGAAGAGGAGTTTGTGCCCCACCATGAACATCTGGGTCACCACATACGCTGTTTATCTAGTTCAGCTGACATTTTTATAGCACAGCTCTCTCAATGAAGAAAAGGGTGTGTTCGTTTAGCTTCTGACGTGAGCTCCTCATCTTTCATGTACTGGCCCTCTGAGAGCCTCTGAACTAGTTCAGTATTATGTGGTCCCTTCTGCATTCCTGATGGAGAGTTCTGAAATCCTCTTTCCTGTTTGCAGACACGTGAAAGGAATTGTGTTAGTGGCCCTGGCTGATGGCACCCTTGCTATCTTTCACAGAGGAGTTGGTGAGTTGTTATGAATAGATAACAAGTGCACTCACTCGTTGCATTGCAAAAGCATTTTTAAACAGATTGGTTTTTTATGCTTTAAGAAATGATGCTTAATAGGAGAAAGAATAAAGGTTTAAACCGAATACTAACAATGTGTGATAGCAGTAAATATGTGAGTGCCTGCTTGGAGGTATACATTTATAGTATACCGCAGTCAAAGTATGTTTACCATACTGAGCAAGCAGTTTAACATTTCACAGTCCTCTTATATAATGTGATATGGAGGTGCTGGTTTTTCATTCATACACTTACTCAATTGGGCGAAATTTAGTGAGAGGATAATTTTTCTTTGCCCAGTATTTAAAAAATAATTTGCATCTACTTATATTTGGTAAGTATATAATAAAAGCCTAAGTGACCATTACGGCGGAACGACCAGAACAACCGGTCTCTGTGATGCGCACTGACCACCAGCCAGGCGCTCAACGCAGGAGCTGCCCCATAGGGGGCAGTGTGCTCCCATAGGGGGTGCACCGCTCAGCCAGAAGCCGGGCTCATGGCTGGTGAGCGTAGCGGTATTGGCGGGAGCCTCTCCCACCTCCGTGGCAGCACTAAGGAAGGAGCAGCAAGCAGGCAGGTGGTCAGGAGCGAGGGGTCCCAGACTGTGAGAGGGCACAGGCCAGGTAGAGGGGACACCCCCCACCACCACTACCACCAGTGCACAAATTTCTTGCACTGGACCTCTAGTTTAAAATAACTTTTAATTGGATAAAGTTTAGTGATTTTCAAGTTATGTTATTTACATTCTTCCCCTTTAAAACAGTGTTTCCACCATCTTTTGCAATCATCACCAGAACTTATGAGGAAGATTCTGTTGTCACCCTCATTTTATAGATGAGGAAACTGAGGCAGAGTGTTTTAGTCACTCAGTAAGTGGAAGAGCCTAGGAAAAACAGTAAATGTTTTAGTGTACTGGGTCCAAAATTATATTGACAGAGCAACACAAGCAAAGTACATTTAATAAAGAAATGCCAAGTTCTGCATTTGGGTTCAGAAGAGTAAGATGAAAGAGGCCTGCTGACGAGTGAGAATTCCTTAAAGGTTGACTACAAATTCAGTCTGAGTTAGCTAACGTCATCAATTTCATAGGGTTCCACTCTGGTAGCTAGACAGCATGAAATGGACATGGATGGACACAGAGGAACTCGGCTGAAGGGCCCAAAGACATGTGCCAAGGATACTTGGTTTTGAAAGGAGAAGATGTGGGGCAGTAACAGAAGTTGCTTCCATTGGGCAAAACTATAAACTAATGGGAGATTACATATAAGGAGGCAGAATTCAGCCAGGTGTGGGAAGTATTTTGCTGACAGTTACAGCTTCCTGAAAATGGAACAGCTGTTCTGTGAGGCATTGTGTTTTCTTTCACTGAAATTGTTGAAGCAGAGCAAGCTTCCAGCATTGGCTCTCATTTGTATTCTGTCATCGCTAAAATTATAGGACACATGATTCCTAACGTTGCCCTTGACTTCTACCCAAGAAAATATATCAGAATGCAAGTGAGTGAGAGATTTCATCCCCCAAATAATTTTAATCCTTGCTGATTCTTAAGTAGTATTATAAACAGTTAACTTATAACTGATTTATCATATCACTACTGTTGAGAGCATGGTGGTCCAGGTATTGAGTGGCAGGTTGGACCGATGAGCTTTGAGGTCTCTTCCAACTTTGTAGTTTATAAAATAAGAGAACCCAGTTTCTGCAAATAAAGGATATACTGAATACATGGTATTTGTGGGTGTTTCATGAATAAAATTAATTATATACCCCGATAGAATGTTTCTTTTGTTAAAATTTAGTAAAAGGTGGTATACATTAACTAGTAATCTATTTCTTATTTTAAAGATGGGCAGTGGGATTTGTCAAACTATCACCTGTTAGATCTCGGGCGGCCTCACCATTCTATTCGATGCATGACTGTGGTACATGACAAAGTCTGGTGTGGCTATCGGAACAAAATCTATGTGGTTCAGCCAAAGGCCATGAAAATCGAGGCAAGTTAACCCATGTTTTCTCTGCTTACTGAATTTCTATTTCCTGAAGATTCTAAGACTAATTATTTTCAGCTTCTTTAGAAAGTATTTTCTGAATCTGTGTTTTAATGATACATTGATGACATCTTGCCACTTTTGACTACCAGAATGGGAAGTGTTGAGTTTTTTTTGAAGGAAAAAGATTAACACAAATGTTGAAATGTGTCTGAGTACCCATAGTGCATATGTGTTTGAATATATGGTTCTGGATTCGTTTACTTATGTACAGGTAGAGGGAAGGAGGATTCCCAAGTCTTTGCCATCCCACGTGTGTTTACACGAATCCATATGTGTGTCAAAGACTGAGATATAAGATTGCAGTGAGCAATCCTCTTAGTAATGCTTTCTTTAAAAAAGTTTTGCAACCAGATGTAATTTTTTAAAGACAACCTAAAGCTAGAAAATTTTAAGGTGGAAGGTCTCCTTCTCCCTTTGTCCTAAATCTCATTCTTTTATGTAAAAGTCCTAAAGTTAACCATTTGGTGTTTATTTTTCAGATCTGTTTCTTACATGCAGACACACACACACACACACACACACACACACACACACGCAGCAATGCAGGCTCCTTTTTGTTTAGTTATAAATGTAATTTCTCTGCAGTCCAACAAAATCTTGAGATCAAATTCAGTCTTATTGTTGAACACTGACACATAACAGGGATGTGCCAGTATTACTTCCGTAAGTCGATGACCTGTACAGTGTTAAAATCCAGCATCCTTTATTCTTTGTTTTTCTTTTTATTTTGAAGTCTGGGATAAAGGCTATGATCATATTTAGTGAACACTGTTTAGGCTCCTCTTTTAACATATATTCTTCCAAATTTTTGTGCAAATTAGCACAGTTTTTAAACACAAACTCCTGCATGTTAAACGTAACATTGTGATTGAACAATCTTTCCTAGAAATCATTTGATGCACACCCCAGGAAGGAGAGCCAGGTGCGGCAGCTTGCGTGGGTAGGTGATGGCGTGTGGGTCTCCATTCGTTTGGATTCCACCCTCCGTCTCTATCATGCACACACTTACCAACATCTACAGGATGTGGACATTGAGCCTTATGTAAGCAAAATGTTAGGTAAGCTTCCAAAGCGTTTTATTTCTGTCAATTAAATAAAGTTTTTATTTTTAAATGTTCTCACATGCTGGATAGAACCAGTGAATAAGTTGCCTGAGGATTAGTGAGCTCTTATCACTGAAGGTGTCAGGCAGACACTCCATCTACCCTGTGGGAACTGTCAAGTCTGCCCCAAAAATATCTTCAAGCAATGACTTCCGTATCTCTACCTCTGTCCCCGTGTCCATCCTTTCCTGCCTGGGTCACCTGAGCCTCCTCACCAGGCTCCCTCCTTCCACTCCAGTCTGTGCTCTGCATAGTAACCAGGACACATTCTCCCCATGCCCACTGACTGCCTTTAGAGGAGGTGGCAGGAGCAGAGGGATTTAAGTGGCCTGGGCCACTCTCCTCACTCTGTTCTACCCACACTGACTCAAACTCAGCAAGTTCCTTTCCATGCCAGGCCTCACATGTACTGTATCCTCTGTCTGAGAAGTCCTTCTTGGTCCCTTTTTACTTGGCCTCCAGACCATAGCTACGTGTCACATCCAGAAGAGACCTTTTCTTGTCTCCCACTTGAATTTAGGCATCTTATACTTTTTCTTCACGGGCTCATCATTGTTGTGGTTGCACTGGTGTTACGTGATTCCTACTTCCCGCCTCTCTCTCCCACGGATCCTAAACGCCATGAAGGGCAGGGACCACCCCTGCTGTATCCTCAGCTCCTGATGCAGAGCTGTATGACCATTAGAGATGCCGTTCACTAAGGATTCCTTTATGAAGAGAGGTTGAGCTGCACCAGCGGTTTTTAACCTTTTTAGGGCCTTTGCCCTCAGAAAACCTGATGATAGCTCAGTACCCTCCCTGGAGTCAGGCATATGTACACATACACACAGACTAGTTCCGGGGGTGGACTTTGACCGTAGGTTTAGACTATGAAGATTCTAAGACTGTATTTCTGAATAGAGTAAGTTCCTAACACTGATTCTGTGATCATGCTCTTCAGCTCTTACAAGTAGAATATGAGTAACTAAATGCTGTTTGTTCTAAATGCTTTATCTGTTTAATAATTTTGCCCCTCAAGTCCCAGAAAATAAAGTCAGTTGAAAAAACTCTTCTTGAAATAACAATGTGCATTGATTCTCCCTAAATTATATGCCTGTGGTTTCCTAAAATTTCAAAACTGCCATTGAATAAGAAGAGTGTAGGTTTTGTTCGCAAAAGTTGTTTTCATCTACACAAAGAAATTTAAGGCACACCAGAACTCTTTCAGCTTATAAATTTGAAGGACATTTAATTTCCCAATTTAGTAAACACTGTTTTTATTGAGGGTTTTTGTTCTGGTTTGGTTTTGCAGCTCCCTAATTAAGTCCTGTGTCATATTTCCTGAGCCACAGTATCTTCCTTCTAAATGATACTGTGATGGCAGCCACGTTTAGAATTTTCTGTCCCCATTAAGCATGAGTTGTGAGCTAGGTGGTAAAGCCAAAGGAGAGTTTTCTCATATTCACCCACTACTCTGAGGGACCTAGAATCTCAGACATCGTCTGCTCCAGTTTCTAATGAAATGTCCCCCCCCACCCCTCTCTGTGCAGGTACTGGAAAACTGGGCTTCTCTTTTGTGAGGATCACAGCCCTGATGGTGTCCTGTAATCGTTTGTGGGTGGGGACAGGAAATGGTGTCATTATCTCCATCCCACTGACAGAAAGTAAGTACATTTTCACTCACCAAACTGTCACAGTGCAGATCGGAGAGTTGCAGGGAATGGTCATGCCCAGACATGAGGCAGAAGGAATTGCTCTGGTATTGGCAACTCGGTGGTAATTTAGAAAATCAATCTGGTGGCAAAGATCTAACTATTGTCCCTTCATTCTTTCCATGGAAACTTATGAACTGTAGCAAGTAACAGTTCATTCTGAGCAGTACTTTTTCTCAATTCAGGAATAACAGTCCTGTTTCCTCTTTTTTTTCCTTTAGAGAGAGAGAGATAGGAAGTGGGAGAGACAGAAACATTGATGTGAGAGAGACACATCGATTGGCTGCCTCCTGCACGAGCCCTGACTGGGGATAGGCATCAAACCTGCAACCCAGGTATATGCCCTTGACTGGGAATTGAACCCGCGACCCTTCGGTGTGTGAGCCGATGCTCCAACCACTGAACCACTCCAGCCAGCGCCTGTTTCCTCTTTTAAATAAAGGTCAAAGTCCATTTTCCTTTGTGCTTTTTATACCAGTATCCAGAAACACTACTAGTACTCATTCTAGTTTTTCATGTCTCCCTGGCAGTTAGTTTATGAGATTCTCTTTGGTTTAGAAAAAGTTACGGGAGAAGTTTCTCAGGAGGTCAGTCAGCCCTTCCTTATGCTGGAGACAAGTCACCTGTCCTGTATTTAAAAAGAATGTGAACAAAATGTACATTGTATGTTTTTTATATTATGTTCCTTTATTATTTTTGTGAACAAAATATACATTGTGTGTTTCTCTCATTATGTTCCATTACATTGATCATTCATTAAATAAGTGTTTTTGTTGCAAAATTCACAGGCAGGGAATGGTTTGGAAACAAGTGTCCTAAGTACAAAAGATAAGTTAATAAGGAAATATCTCAGAACAGCCCTGTCTTTTTTCAGGGGAAGGAAGGAGGGCCAGAAGGTGGTATATCTGGAGCCTTAAAGAACCTAAGTTCTTAATCAGTTACTTAGAAATATACATGCTTAGACCACTTACACCCTAAGAGATCATAGGATATCCCAGAGTTCATTTTAGCTCTTTATAAAAGAGCGTGCCACTTTGGCACTGTTACTTTGAACAGGTTTTTTTAATGAAAAAGGGGAAATATTAGCATTAGGAAATGCTCCCCATTAATTAAGTTCTTAAGAAATTATGAATCACTGCAATTGCTTTATGATGGAGAAAAAATCACTGTGAATCAAATTGTATATTTTGGGCAGAGAAATTGTAGAGAGAGGCTTTGGTTAAGAACTTTTGAGTGTTACTCGGTATTATACCAAGTTGGACTTGGTTAGGCGCTTTGGGCACCAAGTCACCAGATAGGAGACTCCGAGAGTGGTGGCTCATAGTAATTCTTCTCCCCCCTGTCATGCACCTCTCCATGTCCCCTTTCCTCCTCTCGCTGTAGCTGTAATCCTCCACCAGGGACGTTTACTGGGGCTGAGGGGTAAGTGCAGATCCTGATCCCACTCTTCCTCCTGGCTTCCGATAGCCACCGTGAGGCTGTCTCACGTCTCTAGATGCCTCCTGAATGTTCTCAGTGTCACCCACTTGCAGTCACTGCATCGCAGCAGGTGTTTGTTTTGTTTTTGACGTCTGTTCCATGGCCACCGAACTACTCAGCTGCTTAGTCTGCTTATCACCTTTTGTTGCAGCTGAACTTTCTTTTCGGACTTTTTTCCTTTCCAATAAAAACACAAAACATCTCTCACAACTGTCATTAATCTACATTGTTTACTCTTGTTACCAGTTATGTTTCTTTCATTCACTTACTGGCCCATGGAATGGGGATGTTTTGTGAGTCTGGTCATTCTAAAACAATCCAGCAAATCACTGGTCTGGTGTCAGTGAAAGTGACTGTATTGTAGTGGCTGCGTCCTTTAGCACAGCTTCCCACCACTCCCCGCAAGGGGGATAGTCTTACCACAGGGGAGAAAAATTAAAAGATAAACAATACAATTTTTATTTTAAAATATGCCCTTTGACTTTTAACTATGTACTGGTTAGTTTTCTAAAATGAGGATTAAAAACAAAACAAAACAGATATTCCTAAGATTCAAATCTGTTTTCTTTTGTTCACTAAAATGATTTTTTAAAAATTACTAGATGTGTTGAAAAAGTGAGCTTAGTTATTGCTAGACTGGCAAAATCCCCTACTCCATTTACTGAGGTACTTAAAAATAACTAGCATGCTGTCTCCTCTTCCAGCTTTCTCTTGATTTGGCATTGCTGCCTTTGTTTTATCTCAGCTGGCTGTAGCTTTTAGATAATATCTGTCATAAGGATTAACCAGTAACCTCTTGCATCATTACAATTTTCTAGGGGAAAATAGTTGGTATTTGGTTTTTCCGTTGCAGCAAATAAAACCTCAGGAGCACCAGGAAATCGCCCTGGAAGTGTGATCCGTGTGTATGGTGATGAAAACAGCGATAAAGTGACTCCAGGGACGTTCATACCCTATTGTTCAATGGCACACGCTCAGCTTTGCTTCCATGGGCATCGGGATGCGGTGAAATTCTTCGTGGCCGTCCCAGGTGAGGTGGATTATCCTGTTGAGAAGATGCATGTCATTGTCTCTCTCTTGTCCCTTAGTTCCACTACCCGCTCAAATGCTAAGCACTAGAATTACAGATCATTTCACCAATGTATATGAGAAGCTCTACAATGGCGGTAAGAATAAAGCACTGTAGGGCTATTTGAATGAAGTTGTCATGGAATCTCCTCACCCCCCAAAACAAACTTCTTGATTTTTATTTATGCAACAATCCTGCTTACTTTTTAAAGCAGTTGTATTATTTTATCACCACAGAATACCAAAAATGGTCTTGGCCTGATAAAGGAGATAGCTAGAAAGAAGCCCCTGTCATCGAGGCTTGGTGCAGGAAGACGGGGAATGTGCTCGTACCTTTATCAGTGCAGCGGCCAAGAGCAGTGGGCGAGGAGCTCGGGAGTCTGGGCCCTCCGCCTCACCCCTTGCCTGTTACTGTGAGCAAGTGGCCTCACCGCTGAGACTCGTTTCCGTGTCTTCTTACATGGACATGATTTTAATATCTGCTCCCTGCCGGCCTCATTGATTGTGAAAACTAATGGAAGTGCTTTGGGAACTAAAGGACCATCTAGAGTAAGAAGGTGGTAGTGTGATGTCCAATGGGAAGCGCTCTGCCCGTTGAGAATACTAAATGATGTTGCTGCCACCTGTAAGCAGGATCCATGTTTTGAATTTTGTCCCCATAAGAGGCTAGTTTAAGAGTTAGACAAATTTCAAATATGACTTTACCACACCAGCTCACTGTGTCACATTGGACATAGTGTTTTAGCGTATTAGGGTTCTTCAGAGAAACAACCAACAGGGGGTGTGTGTGAGAGAAAGAGGAGGATGGGGGAGAGAAATGGGGAGTGGGGAAGTGGAGATGTTTTGATTTATTTATTTTAATAAATTGGCCCATGCGATTATGAAGGCTGATCTATTTGCAATCTGCAGGGCAGCTGGCATACTGGAGACCCAGAAAAGCGTTAATATTACAGCTTGAGGACAAAAGTATGCTGGAGGCAGAGTTCCCTCTTCCTTGGGGGTCTATCTTTTCCTCTTAAGATCAGCAACTTAAGAGATGAGGCCCACCAACCTTATGGAGACTAATCTGCCTTACTCAGAGTCCGCTGACTTAAATGTTAACTATGCCTTCACAGCAATATCTAGACTGGAGTTTGGCACCAGGTTGACAGATGAAATTAACCATCACACTTTTCCCCCCAAGGTGTTCCAAAGATGAGGTGATGAGTGAACATAGTGCAGGGCTCACACATGGTGCTCTGGTTACTCAGCATTCTTGGCAACATAGTAATGAGCTTTCTAAACGTCTTGTATTTGTGTAGTTATTTCCTTAGGATAAGTTCCTAGAAATGGAACTGCTGGTAATAGTGTTTTCTTGCTTTCTCAAAGAAAGAAAAAATATGTCTTAGAGTCCCCTTCGAGTCTCTTTTATATTTCTCATTTTGAGATTTGTTAAGTTCGTGCATAAAAATATAGTTTATTCAATTAACTATGGTTCTTATATCTGAATAAATGTGCTCCATTCTCCTATTGATGGACCTCTAGATCTTTTCTGCCTTCCTCCCCGCCCCCCAAGTATTAAAAATAGTACTGCAGCAGACCTTCTCCTGTATATGGGAAAGACTTTCCTGTTGGGTATAGATCTGGAAGTAGAATTGGCAACACTGTTGACCAGTTGGCCCTAACGATTAAACCTTCAGGTTGGCCCTATTATCATACCTCTGTGCTCTTTCTCCTGTGTCGGAACTAACCAGTCTGGAGTAGTTTTCTCTAGCAGGCCTGGTTTCTTCCAGAGCATCATTGAGTAATGCATGAGTGAGACACTGTGGGAATAAAGTAAACTGTCCTATCCACCTTCAGCATACATTACTTTCTAAAAGTGTGTTGCACCATAGGATTGTGTCCTGCTGTGTCCTGGAGGCATGGTCTGTGCAGCGTGACCAAAGGACAGCAGATTCTCCAAGAAGAAAACATACCCCACAGTCAAAGCTTTCTAAGAGGGGTGTCCTAGAGATTGTAGTGTGAATAGTTTTTTAAGGTTTCTCTCTCTACCATTTCATGCTCCAGGATTCTACCTTAGAACACATTTAGCAATCATTTTATTTGCATAATCTAAAATATAAGGTATACTTTTCTTAAGTATGAAAGGAAAACTGTGGATTTGAAATAAATATAAATATTAATGAGGAATACCCAAACTCATAAGGCTTAAGGTGAAGACTTTCTTTAGTCTTTTACACAAAAGCACATGTACCCTCTCAGGAGAGAGGCCTTTCCACTGTCCCTCAGATCAAGAGATGTAGATTGTAAAAGTCTGAAGCAGGCAGCTAAGACCAGCCTGGCTGTACACAGATTTTATGCTAAATTTTGGACCTATGGTTTGGTACAAAATGGCTTCATTTAGATTTTAAAATGGGCTCTTAGGACCTCTCTAGATGTTTTCTGATCATGCAGAGGCTTCTAGCATCCCCAGTACTTTGGTTGTATTAGGATATACTTGCTTTTTTGGTTCAAGTTTCTGAAAATATTCAGAAAAAAATGTTTCCCCACTGCAATCAATGATAAGTAATATTCACTTGTTCCTGTATAAATAGGTCAGGTTGTCAGCCCACAAAGTGGCAGTAGTGGCACAGATCTGACAGGTGACAAAGCAGGGCCATCTGCTCAGGAGCCTGGCAGCCAGACGCCCTTGAAGTCTATGCTTGTCATCAGTGGAGGAGAGGGCTACATCGACTTCCGGATGGGTAAGTCGGTGGTTCTGGGAGCGCAGATTCCACTGGGTTCTGTGACTTGGATTTTCATAGTAAACCAGAAACCACTCGATAAGTTATTTCTTAGAGCTTTTCTTTGAATTCTTTACTTGGAAAAGCACTTCATATATTTCCTTCTATCCGTCCTTCCTTCCTTTTTGGATTTCTTTTTATACCAAAGTGCATTTGTTTTGAACTACCTGATTATATTTCAGTTCAGAAATTGAATTGTGTCTTTTTTTTTAATAATATATCTTTATTTCAGAGAGGAAGGGAGAGAGAAAGAGAGATAGAAACATCAATGAGGAGAGAGAATCATTGATTGGCTGCCTCCTACACGCCCCGCACTGGGGATCAAGCCCGCAACCCAGGCATGTGCCCTTGACCAGAATTAAAACCGGAATCCTTCAGTCTGCAGGCTGACACTCTATCCACTGAGCCAAACCAGCTAGGGCTGGATTGTGTCTTGAGCCTTTTGAAGAATGCTCATCTCCACAGTTGGATGTTGCTTTGAAAAGGCCACAGGGGTGGGTAAAGGAGAGCTTGGCCTACAGAGAGGAATGCGCGTTGTTAGGGGTCTTTCTTTCCCACTGTGTCTCGTTGACAGTATCAGTGTTGCCTTTGCCGGCTGACATGCAGGTGAGACACATTGCAGACTTCTAACAGAGGAGTGTTACAGCTTTGTCCCTGTGTGAGTGTAGGTTCTGCTAAAGAATCTGGCCCGCGAGGCGAGTTGTCCCTGGGCTGTGCCAGAATAACCGCTGGCTGTGCGCCCAGAGCAGTGGCTGGTCGGGACCTCATGGTCAGCCTCACTGAGCCACTCCTGGAAACACCCTCGTCTGTCTGTCCCTCGGCCTCATTCCTTCATCTCCACCAGCACTGTCCGTTCCTTACCCATCCTGACCCTGAGAATCCTGGGAAGGAACACCCAGCACGTCAGGTGGTGAATCTGATGTCTCTAGTGCCTCAAGGAGGTGACGTCAGTGTCCGTGTGCTGGTGTCGGTTACCTTTGACCAGACAACTTCCCTGCCTGACAGGAAGGTGTTTGGGTTTAGTTTGTGGGGTCTGTCCCCACACTTGCACATTTATAATTCTACTAGAGGCCCTGCACAGGAAATCGTGCGTGGGTAGGGTCCCTAGGCCTAGCCTGCCATCAGGGCCACCTTCCGCCCTCTTGCCAGTCCCCAGTCCTGTCCGCCACCACCCATCCTGGTTCCCCATCGTCCCCCCTTCGCCATCTGTGATGGGAGCCTGCAGGCCAGGGAGAGGGCGGGGGGTGGGGGGGACCGAGAGGTGGTCAGTGCACTTCGTAGTGACTGGTCGTTACGCCATTATGGTCGCTGGGTTTTTATTATATAGGATCTAGTCTCAGTTCTTAGTTTGAAATAGACAAATGTAGACTGGCCATTTTGGATAAACACAGAATTAGACAGCTTTGCCTTCTTAGCTCCCATTTCTGTAAACTGCTGTATGCAGACCTATTGGGATGAGTCTCCAACGTGGTACAGAGAACTCTTGGTTAAGATGTGGTCTGGAAAGTGAATTACCCTTTTCAGAAGTCAGGCAGGCAAGACTCCTGTTCGTGGCATTGCTCTCGCTGTGTTCTCTGCGACGGGAGTCAGACAGGTTGTGTGCGCACTGTTGATGCACTGACCACGAGCATCGTGTCTGATGTACAGCGGCCTGCACCTTCCATGCTCAACCTAACTGGGGTCTCTTTATCCTCCACCCACCAGGTGATGAAGGTGGAGAATCAGAGCTGCTGGGAGAGGATCTTCCACTTGAACCTTCTGTTGCCAGAGCGGAAAGGAGTCACTTGATAGTGTGGCAAGTGATGTATGGCAGTGAGTGAGCCCATAGGACACAGGTGGAGACGGGCATGCCGTCTCTTCTGCATGGTTCTTTCCCTTCCTCTTTATTTAATGCTCTCTTTGTGAAAAAAGATGCACCACATACTGTGTGAGCATTTCCCCCCGTTAACTTCACATTATAAAATCTGTCCCACTGTCATAATACAGGAACTAGCTGTTTTACTGCACCAGTGTTATAGGCAATTTCAGTGTGTTATGAACAAATCAAAGAATGTTTACTTTCTACAAACTGGTGAATTCTAGAAAGCAATCCAGATGTGGTTTATTCTGCCGCAGCGAATATCACTCACTTCATTTGATGGAGTCACTTTTTAGCTGTCACTAATAATGGAATCAATGGAAACACTTGATAAGTGAAACTGTACCATTAAGGACAGTCGTAAAGTTTCCCTCAATGTATTATAAACTGACACAAATTAATACTGGGTGGATCATCAAGATTTATCTAATGTCCCAAGAGGGCTAAAAGCTAACTGTAAATTACTTAACTTTCACTTTCAAGTCTGAAAAATCTTGTTTATATGGTATATAAAAACTTTGTTTTCATCAGATGGGGGGGTTTTATATTAAAGAAATTAAGACTACACTATTTAAATAAATGTTTCCTATTTCTGACTTATTAGAGCTCTAAAGTTTATGAGGCCTGCTTCTCTGAATATGCTAAATTTTTTTGAGGCTAGTTTCACTCATTTTCATACTAATATGTCTGAAAGTTTGTACTTAGAAGGCTTAGAAGATAGGCATCAGCAGTGAGAGGATTTTTTAAAAAGGAAATTGTTTTGGATTCTTTGTATCAGAGGACGGTTGAGTTTTTTTTTCATGTAAAAAAATTAACTGTTTACTAATTGTTCTTGGGCCGCCCTAAGCAGTTAATAGGAGTAAAGCTGTGTTGTTGATGGAACGTGGCCTAATGGACCGAGAGAGAGAGACTTGATTAGAAACGGTCGTTTCTCTTGTTCTGTAGGAAACTACAGAACCGCTTGCACTTGATATTTTGTATGTAAATGACACATCAGAGCTTTTATGCCCTTGCAAGATTAAAATGCCATCGTCAAAGAGGAAAACCATGAAGGGCAAGACCACAAACCAAGACACCACGGAGTAGATGCTGACACATCTTTTCACCCTCAATGCCCATTTAAAAAGTAGAGTCTACTCTACCCCGTTTAATACGTTTTTTAAGAACCATTATGCTGCGGTTTTTTCCCTCTCAAGCTTCTCGAAAATGTGTGATTTATCATTTTTTACTCATTACTTTAAGCAAAGCTAAATATGAATGTAAGTGCTATTTTTAAAATACAAACCTGTTGGATAACAACCCCTTACCAGGACTATCAAAGAGAAGAAAGCAGACACAGGCCCGTCTCAGTAGTCTGCCAGGAATTATTTTCTGAACTGTCGTGTAAAGGTAGTTGTAAAAAGTACGCCTTGTCTTTGCTTCATACACATGATGAGGGTAGCTTATAAAACACACGAGCTCTAAGGAGCTGGAGCGGGCCTTTGGGTCCGTGGCGACATGTGTCTGTGAGCACATCGTGTGGCAGTACAAGTGTGGCTGCTGTAGACGACTAGAAGAAAAACCTCTTCTTAAAAGGATCATGTTCTTGCTTAAGCTGCGTGCTTTTCTTCAGGCCACCTTTCCAGGACCCCCCATAACAGGTTTATATTCTTGTAGCGTTCGCTTTGGTCAAGGTGGTAACAGGGAGAAAATGCTAACAAGTAAGCTGCTTGCAGGCAGCAAAGCAGTTGGTGTGAACTGCCTGTAGCTTGCATGTCAAGGGCAGAAAAGAAGTACCTGGGGTTGGTCTCTGTGTAAAAAAAAAAAAAAGAAAGAAAAAGAAAAATTACCCTGTGGGTCAAACGACCCGGATTCCGAGAATTTCCTCATTTTATTACGCTTCGGTTCTATGTGAGGCTGAGCCACGTGACACTGCGGTCATCACCCCTTGCTGCTCTGCAAGAATGGCCGTGTGGCACCATGAGCCTGGCACTTACGGGACTGTGAAGGCCGGCTGAGCTCCCTGAGCAAAGGGAGGGTATTCTCTAGGAACTCAGTTTTGAGAGCATTTTTCTCAAATTCCTGTGGATCTAAAATTTTAAAATAGGAATGAATATCTTAATAACTGCAGATTATTGAGAGTGTACAAGGTTTTGAGCACAACATATGCAGCACATAACTTTCCCAGTTAGTGCGTTTGCACAGAAGAGGTTAACATGCCTTCTCTCGGTTGCCGTGGTGTTCCTTTCTTGTGAAGGTCTTCCCGCATTGAGAACAGACCCTCTACGGTGGCTGCCTTAGAAACACAACAAAGCAAACAGTTGTCATACAATGTTAACTGTCCTGAAGAATGCGTGTCTTGCAAATGCTTGGAATTGAGTATTTATTTCCTTGTGAGTATTATGACCGTTACCAAAGGACTCAGCCAGACTTAGAGCTCTTCTTCATTGATCATGTTTGTCACATGGGAAGAGCAGAGAGAATTAAACGTGGAAATCATAAATGCTTTTCTAACAGGGTTATGCTGTTTTATAACACAAAATGTCTTTTTCTTTCTCTCTAAAAAATTAAGTTGTTATTAATGTCATACATTTCTCAATATTTGAATATATATTTTAACCATTTTATGTTCTGACTTCGGTTTTTGTCCTAGACATTTTATCCAGCATATTACTTGCCTCTGTAATCTGAAAAATGGGTTCTAGATCGTCCTACTTTCCGTCTCTTGAAGGCTGAGGCTTCATTTCTATGAGCAAGACGCTCATTTAGCAATGTAGTTATTTCAGTATTTATTTCTATTATGGAATCCCTGGGGTTCGGAATGTAACTTTGTACATGAAATATATATAAATATGTATATGAAACATGTATGAGGTCCCGAGTATTTTGTTTGTTTTTGCCTTTCCTAGGAGTCTGAACTTGGTTTTTATTTGAAAGTTTGATAATCTTCCCCGATCCAACATGTCGTTTCTGGGGGACTGCCGCCATTTGGCGCTAGCTGGAAGTGAGCCATGGGGAATACATGAAGGACACGCCTGCTGGCTCACGTGTTCACATGAGACGTGAGTAATAGACACTAGGGCTTTCTAGAAATGTGGGTGTGCTGAGTAACACCCCACACGTGACACTATGGCATGCCATTTGCCGGATCACTCAGTAGTAAGAAGCAGGTGCAATGCAGACGGGAGTGAGCGGTGTGCTTATTCGGGCCCATTAGCCTGGGAGAGACTCCTGCAGGAAGGATGATTATAAGACGAATCACGTGGTAGCACAATGTGACTCCCTGTGCCGTGCGGTGGTATTGAGAGTAATCCAGTGTATTTTGTGTACAAGAAATGGGAGTTTCTGACGTGATGGTAAAGGTAGCCCTGATGGGCATGTGATGAGGACAGTTCGCTAGACAAATGCACAGCCATCTATCCAGTGAGGTTGGATGCTCTAAAACGGTGGTTCTCAACCTGTGGGTTGCAACCCCTTTGGGGGTCAAACGACCCTTTCACAGGGGTCGCCTAAGACCATCGGAAAACACATATATAATTACATATTGTTTTTGTGATTAATCACTATGCTTTAATTATGTTCAATTTGTAACAATGAAAATACATCCTGCCTATCAGATATTTATATGACGATTCATAACAGTAGCATAATTACAGTGATGAAGTAGCAACGAAAATAATGTTATGGTTGGGGGTCACCACCACATGGGGAACTGTATTAAAGGGTCGCGGCCTTAGGAAGGCTGAGAACCACTGTCCTGGAATATAATTAATAGCCTGGCTCATTCCTGACCTTACCTACCTGCCCCTTCATCCTCTGGGGCCTGCCGAGTCATTGTGGAGACAGGTGAATTCCTTCCGGCCTCATTCAGTCATCGTCCTGATTCAGCCAGTGTCCAGTGAGAAGCGAGAGGAACATCATAGGACAGGAAATGCTCATCCTCGTTCTGCTGGTAACAGGACAGAGTGCTGTCCTCACCACTGGAACGGCTGCCTGCAGTCCCACCCGGGGGCGCGGTGGTCTTTCACACAGATACTGCCCAAGCCCCAAGCTCTTCCTGGTCCCCCCCCCCCCCCACCCCAGGCCTCCTGTCCCAGGTAGGCTTGAGAGCCCTGACCATCACAGAAGGCACAGACCTTAACTTTCTGCAGTGGCCAACTAGTTAGAAAAGGCTTTGCAGTTAGGGAACTTTTCAGAAAGCTTTAAATATTTGGTAATGACTGCAGTTGAGTTTTAAAGTCAGTTCCTGTACAGACACAGTGGAATAGAGGCAGAGCAGGCTGTACGCCTGTCCAGGCTCTGCTCCTGCAATGACTCTAGACAAGTCACTAACACAGCACCCCAGAGTCACCCAGAAAGGCATCAGCTCCACCCAGACCTACTTACTGGGTCGGATCCTCTTGTGGAGTCTGAACCCAGGCATCTGTGAATGTCATAGGGAAGTGTGCTGTGTGGCTAAGGTTGAGGGATCCTGTTTAACATATTCAGACCTTAGTTTCTCATGAGTTAAAGGTAGGTGGCTTGTCCAGATGAACTAAATCAGTGGTTCTCAACCTATGGGTCGCGACCCCTTTGGGGGTCGAACGACCCTTTCACAGGGGTCGCCTAAGACCATCGGAAAACACATATATAATTACACTAGGGGCCCAGTGCACAAATTTGTGCACCTTGAAAGGAACTGTGGACTGTGAGGCTGCTGTGGGCACAGGGGCGGGTCCCCGCCCAGTCCCTCACACCTCAGCCCCTGGTTCCCCTGTCTGCCAGCAGCTCCATTCCTGTTGCCGCCACTCCCATGCTCTGACAGTGCTGTCCCTGCTCATCAGTGGATGTGAACAGGGCTGGTGCCATCAGCAGGTGCAAGTGGCGACTGTTGCCCCAATCACCCCTCAGGAGCAGGGGGTGGTGGAGAAGCCCTCGGGGGTGATTGGGGCTGGCAGCCACCGCTTGCACCTGCTGACAGTGCTGAGCAATTGGGGCTGACACTGGGCGCTGGCAGCGGGTGTGAGTCGGGCTGGCGCCGGCAGCAGATACAAGTACTGGGTGGGACCGTGGCATGCAGGAGCAAACAAGGTTCAGTAACCCCCAGAGGCTTGCCCCGATGACAGCGACCGGCGCCCCGCCTTGGTTTGGCGCCCCAACTCACCTGCTACACCATCCTGCCATGGCCAATGCCTGCCATGTTTCACACTTTGCTGCCTGCTGCTGATGCCTGCCATGTTCCACATGCGCCCCCTGGTGGTCAGCACACGTCATAGCTACTGGTTGTTCAGTTGTTTGGTTGTTCGGTTGTTCTGTTTGGTCTATTTGCATATTAGCCTTTTATTATATAAGAATATTGTTTTTGTGATTAATCACCATGCTTTAATTATGTTCCGTTTGTAACAATGAAAATACATCCTGCATATCAGATATTTACATGACGATTCATAACAGTAGCAAAATTACAGTTATGAAGTAGCAATGAAAATAATTTTATGGTTGGGGGTCACCACAACATGAGGAACTGTATTAAAGGGTCACGGCATTAGGAAGGTTGAGAACCACTGATCTAAGTAAATCCTAGCTCTAGTCCTTTCTGGCTCTGTGGCCCTGGCTCTGATCTGCCTCGGGTATTGTGTGCACAGTTGCCACCCACACCTGCTTGCAGATCCAGGTTGCCCAGTCCCCTAGGAGGCCCAGGTATCGGGTGGGTGGGATTTGATTACTTAGAATTTCCAATTTATCAGAATGACTCTGTACAAAGGAGCCAGATGGTTTAGCTCCTTTCTTTTATGACCAAGCAGAACATTGGCTCCTACCCACAGTGGGGGGAAAAAGTAGTTATGATTTTATTTGAGGCTGCAAAGGAGAGGTGGACCAACCAGCCCCAGCTCCCCGGGCAGGGGGTGGGGGTGGGAGTGGGGGGGGAACAACTTTGTGTGAAAGCCACAGTTCTCAACCTGGCCAGGAGAGGGGGGTATAGCCTGAAGCACCCAGAGCTAGTTCAGCATGAAATTATTTCCTCCTTTCTCTCCTCTAAGGACTATCAGATGTCTATTTGGGAAAAATTTCCCAGGTGATTCTGATTCTTGCACTGGGGAATAAAGAGCAGCCCAACTGGGTTCACAAACATCTGTTTTTCCAGGAGACAATCTTCATCCATACTTAGCTGTCATTACCAGCTCATGGTGACCTGCCAGCAGGCTCTCCCCAAGCTCAGCCCAGTGTCCTTTCTTTTTGATTCATGGGTAATTGAAGCTTATGGTACTTAGAACGTATTGCTACATTCAAAGCTTAAAGAGAATATTTCATCTCCCATTCATAGAAGAAAGCCATAACCCTTTAGTTGTGATCATGACTAGCTTGCATTTACATAACATCTCATAATTTTTCTCAAAGTCTTTGCTTCATAAACTCAAAGGTGACTTGCAGAGCAACCCTTTGGAGTGTGTGACCATCCTCAGGATCTAGAGGCCTGGTCACAGGAGGGGCCCTGCCCGTTGGCAAACCGGTCCAGCTGAGATGAGTAAAGGCCAAAGTCCTCACTGGGGAGAACAACCAGTTACTGCTAGATCTCCAGCCAGGAAACCTGGTTTGGATCCTGGGCCTACTGTTTAATTTTGTGGCCCTTCACTAGTCACTTCAACTATTGTTTCCTTACTATGAGAAGAGTAAACCCCTGGCCTGGGTTCTCGCGACGGCTGCGTGAGGGAGTGAGGTGGTTGCAGCCAGCACACCACCTGCCCTCGTGGGCCCTCAGCAGCAGCAGAGGTTCCCAGGAGCCAGGTTTGTGGGGGTGAGGAAGACCCTCAGGGAGACCGGGAAGGAGACAGAGAATGTGATGGCAATCAGGTGTTACGGCTGTACGTGGAAGCAGTAGGTGTACACCTGGGAGTGGGATGGTGTCTGCTTTGGCTATTTTGTAATGTGGTGGAAACAGAAAAACGCTTCCATGCTTATTTAACGCAGACAGTTCTTATTTCAAGTCTGTGTAGGAAGCAGAGGTGTCTTGCGCCCCTCAGGCCTTCCAGGGGGTGCCTTTCTCTGTTGCCTAATTTAAGAACAAGGTGTGTCCCGTGGAAATTAAACGTAGAAGGAGACCATATTCATTTTACTCCTCTGCAGGCACAAAGAGGGACATACCGAAGCATGAGAATATAAGGTCAGCATTTTTAGGTGCCATCAAAACATATTTATTCAGTATCTGTTGCTCATAATGCTAAAGGTGTGACTATTACACTCCTAGTCACTGCTTATAAACAGAACAGACATACAGAACTAAATAAAATGTTAACATTGATGCACAGCAAGGTGTGGAATGGGAGCAAAGAGATTATGGGCTTCCTACAAGATTACAAAAGCTTAGCATTGCTCTGCCCACGCAGGAGCGCACACCCCAGCTGTTGAGATGGATGTGGGGCCTCCCAGCTGCAGACCCCCAAAGAGGGAGCAGTCTTCCAGAAACTGCGGCTCCTCATCGGGAGGCTTCTGACTGTGGCATCTTACCCACAGTAACACGTGTTTGTTTCCTGCCCCCGTGAGGCCTCAGTTTATTTTCTTACTGTCCTTTTCATCCAGCTTCCTCTCCCTTACCTTCGCCAGCCCAGCCGGGTGACAGCTCCTGCAGTGAGTGTTGAGCTGTTTAGCCGTTCGGCTGCTGGGACAGGCCCTTGCAGGCAATCTCTGTCTCTGTTTTGGAGAGCTTCCCTGGAGCTGTAAGAAAGAAACGACGAACAAACGTTGGGCATGTTCTTCCCCAGAAAAGACTCCATAAGTGACCCTTGGAGGCATCTCAAGCCTTCGTCCTTCCTGGAGGAGCCTGGCTGGAGAGGAGCAGAAGTTGGGCAGATGTTTCTAGGCTCCCTGGGCTCTACCCACCCGGGTTTATCACACGCTCCTAAGCCCCGTGTTAGGGCTGTTTCTGGGGCCTCCAGGTGACAGTCCTTTCTTCCAAAGACCCTCTGATAAGAGCCCGAAGCCAGCATTTCAAAAGCCGTCATGATAAAGAAGTCGGTTCTAGCCCCTCCCTCCCACATCACCAGTCCCCTCCCCTGACGGACCCACAGCTCTCCTTATCTGTGGA